AAGAAAAGAAAGAAAGAAAGAAAGAAAGAAAGAAAGAAAGAAAGAAAGAAAGAAAGAAAGAAAGAAAGAAAGAAAGAAAGAAAGAAAGAAAATGTCAGTAGTAATGAAAACATCAAAAACAGAACGTACTCCTGAGTATAAATGTCTAAAAATAGAGATCAAACATCTTCAAAAATCAGCCAGTCATTCAAGCACTTGTTTAAAACCACGCTCTTTTCCAGGCCTGCAGGTCTTGAGTTTCCTCACTGTTTTTATTTGTTCTGGCTTTTCTACTGTGCTAAGTAACATATAAAGTGAAATCAATGAAAAATCTGCCTACAGAAAAAGGACTCCCTGTCCTGCCATTTCATCTCTTTTTCTCTTGTTTCAATTTTTGCTTTCCTTTACTAGACAACAACATTCCAGAAAGCTGGGAATTTTTCATTTCCTTGTGCTACAACAATGCAGAACATTTTGTTTCTGCAGGTGACTGACAATAGGGTACTCAGGGAGCACTGCAGCGTGATTACAGAAAAGTCAGCATTTTAGTGATCCGTAAACCAAAGACTGACGTTGCCTCTTTAGATTTATATTCAGCTTCACTACCAACATTAGATCTGTTCCTTGTAGATCTCTGGAGTGCTTGTTGCAGTCAAGACTGCTATTTCTGTATGCATTTGTACAACAAATACAGGTAGACAAGTCTGGTTTCACTTATTCCTGTCACACAGAGAGCCCGCTGTGAGTGACTGCATGCCAAGCAGTTAGTGAAAACCAGTTCTCCAACACGGCTTTTTAACTAAACAAAAACACTGAACCAAGCCTTTCAGTCATCAGTTTAAGATGCATATTTGACCAATTATATATACTTACATATTATACCTGCACCAGCATTGATCTGAACTGGAATTTTCTGCTTTAAGTGAACACACTTGTGCACGTCCTGTTATATACATAAGAGTATCAGCTTACGACAGAAAGACTCACAGAAGCCTGTGACATACCCAAGACGGCTGCGCTCCTCCGCGGCTGCTGCGCTCTGCCTGCACTGTCCTGTCCGCTGTGCCGCCTCCTGCCGCAGCTGCCTGGCTCCCCAGGCCTGGGAAATGGCCCTGTGGGCACTGCACCTGCGAGGGCTCTGCTTGGGGCTCCTGCTCCAGCACTGAAACCGCTCCCCATCAGCTCACGAGAACTGCCTGGGGTATGAAACCAGGCTGCTCTGCCGACAGTCCGTTCTATAGCCTGTCCTTCATCTTTATGTGGGATTTCCCAGTTGTGTGAAGCTGGAGTAGCATATGGTCCCGTGTTTATAAGCATGTTAATGACTGAAATGGGAACCTCTACAACCCGTTTTCCTTATAAACTTTAAACTGCAATTTCTTGTTTTTGTTATTGGACACTGCACTCATAGGCCGTTAATTTGGCGCAGGCTGTGGAGACACACGGGGCCACACTGACCCCGGGCGCTGGGCAAAGAAAGCTCCAGACACACAGATGTACCTGAAATCACGGTCCAGCCCCTAACCAGAACCAGACAGGGCAAATGAGCTTTCTCACTTATGATCTGCTACAAAAAAGTAACCTTTCCAGGGAAGCACAATAAAGAATTAGTTTAAGCTCCAGTGAATGCTTGTCCTTACAGGCACAACTTTACCAACCATTTCTCAAAAATAAAACATCAATCAGTTTTCACTCTGTGCTTTTTGAAATACTGCTTAAAATGACTTCATAAATTAAAATGTCTAGCAGGGACTTGACAATCCTGCAACAACTCCTTTGTGTTAAAAATTAGCTGTTTTGCTCTACAGAAAATTGCAGTCGGGAACTCCTTGTAAGCAGCGATATCTCACTTAAAAATACACTTCCCACTTTCAGGAGAGGAAGAGTGGTAAATTCAGCCATACCCTGTTATTGACTTAACCAAAATGTATTACAGCTATTTTTGAAAACACAGACACAGTTCTGGTACAGTACTGCGCTGAGAATTGCCAACCCAGACATTCAAATTATGAAGAAAAAAACATACAGTAAATCATCCTTGTTTATCTCTTCCTACTTAACAATCACATGGATAATTTCAGCTATTTGAAAGTAAGTTTCATAAATGGGCAATAACTTGAAAATATCGGCTCTCTTCATGAAAAGCTTAATTCCTGCATGTATAACATCATCAGAAAATCATTCATTTTTGACTGCAATCTTGTAACTGAAAAAAATTCCATTTGTACCTATATTTCCTGAATGTTCATGCATATATAGCAATGATTTAGAAAAAAAAGTCATGTATATACATATATTATATGTATATCATGTGTATATATATATATATATATATATAATCTTTTTTCATTCTATATATTGCTTGTCTGCTTTCAAAGTGCAAAAAGAATGAAACCATATCCTAAGAGCTGCTGGTCAATTCTCAAAAAATGTGGCAATGTTAAGAAAGATATTTAGGAACTGACTTAAATACAATTTGAAGAGGAGTTCCAGGAGTGTCACTTACGAACTTTAAGGACAAATACACTGGTTCTTACTCATTCCAGCACAGCTGGTGAATTTACACAGTTACAGTGTGCCTCCCTCAGCCTTCACATTAATAACCACATTTTTCAGTGCAGCTTGAAATTTGTCAAGAAGAACTTAATCGAGTAGCAAATTTATTATAAATTTTAAGAAGTCATTGCTTCCACTTTTAGGTTATAGTAAAAAGTACAGAAAACAGAAGTTTACATATCTGAGCTTCTGCATCTGTTCTTGAGTAACTTTTCACTTAAAAATAAAACTTGGCAAACAATATACTTTTAATGCAAACCAAATGCATTTGCTATGTACAGAAAAAAAATTAAATTGACAGAGTTTATTTTGAAACTTATTAATTGAGTGTGCACTATTCTTTCTCCCCACGAGATCCCATTTTTGTACAGGGTCCCCACTCGTTCTTTGGTCATTCCCAACAACCTGCACACACAAACATCATCCTAATCCCCACCAACAAAAGCCTTGTGACCCCTCCACACGGACAAAAATCTCACAGGAAATGTGCCAGAAAAGAGAGCAAATGCTGCAAACTTGAGAGGTTGCAAAGGCACCTGAACCTGCCTGCCAAGGAAGCCAAGGGGAACCAAGTTCAAAATTTAAATCTGTATTAACTTTACTGCAAAATCCTCCAGTACTTTTCAGCAATATCCATCCCTAAAGTGATGCTGCCCTCAGGGTGGTCCCTGGCAGAATAACCCAAGAAAGGCCCAGGACAACACAAGGGGCTGCTGCAATGAGTCAAAACCACGAGACACTGGTGGAAACCTTCAGACACTGGGGTGCAAACCTTCATATTTTTCAAAATGATATTTTTTTACCTAATGTCCCAAAGATATACAGAAGTTTCACAAGAGGAGCCTTCCAGCATTCCCTGCCTCACAGGGACTTGAGCCAGTCCTGATCTTGCCCTGATTTACAACAATTTACTGGCAGGAACCAGGCTGTCCCATGTGCCTTGCTCTGACTGGTAACACAGTGGATGACATTACATCATGCTTGTATGTTTTTACTGATAAAATTAAAATAATAAACTATGTATAACCCTTCAAAAACCAGTAAAATAAGGCATTTAATGGCCAAGTCTGTGGCCCTTTAGCTCTGGAGAGTGATGCAGAAATTAGTCTACACTAATGCCTGTATTCCTAAGAGATGCATGGGCACTGAAGGGTCACATACTGGAAAAGGCACTCTGAGGACAGAAAAGGTACTGTACAAAAGGGGAAGGTATTCACATGCACTCCACTGAAGGGAATATGACTCTTGTAAGTGTCACAAACAGCCACCTTGAAAGTTCAAAGCCCTTCTCCTCCTCTGTGGCTATCCTCTAGTTTTTCCTTATTGTAATAGAATGTGCAAGAGTTTTCTCCTTCCTTAGGCTCATCTTCATGCTGACAAAAAGTGGCCTGTAAGTGTCATTTCAAAAATTATCCCCATTTCTCCATTTGAAAAGCAAACCAGCTTCATTAGAGGTCAATAACAGCACTTAACTGTAATACTATAGGCAGAACTTCTCCAGAGAATGAAAAGGTGGACATGATTTATCCACTCTGATATGAGAGGATGGATAGGAGTAATCTACTCTCATGCAAGAAGATGGACAGGAATTACCCACTGTCATATGAGAGGATGGACAGAAGTCACCCAGTCTCATAAAAGGCACAATCAGGTGACACTTATTCCAGAAGCCACTGTCTACTGAAGATGTCTGTAATAGAAATCATGCAGAAAAATATCTCTTACCTGTCCGATAGACAAAATTGCCTTCTGTCTCTGATGATGATGGAGACACCAGTTCTTCCTCAAATTCATTGGAACTAAATGAACCGGAATGATTCCTTTGCCTTGTTTTTTCCATCATAGCTGCATTAGTAGCCATGACGTGTCTCAATGAGTCATTTAGGTATCGATTCAGTAAGCTGCTTTTGTATTTGGGGGGTGACACATAATCCTCATTGGCACTTGCTTCTGGTCTCACTCCTGTTTTTATTACTGAACTTTCAGTTTTAATCACAGTGTGATGAACTGGTTTGTTATATCCCCCTTCATTCATATGGTTTCTTGGAGGATTTTCTCCATCTGAAAACAAAAGAACAAAGATACAATAATACATTGAGTACTTAATATTTAACATGAGGCTTTCTCTACATGTTTTGAACTGTGATAAATATACTAAAATAGACAGTAACTTCAGCATTAGACACTGATTTTCACTTTCTTCTGTTCACACATTGCTCATAGTAGTTCCCATGATTCTCAGATGTTCCAGCTATTCTAAATTAATTAGCTGTAGAAGACCATCTGAGTCTAATTTGCTCATGAGTAACACAAGTAGAAAAAAAAAACTGAAAAGTGCCCTAACTCAATGATAAACATTTAAAAAGCTGTGTGAATATCATAACTTGAAATTGGGTTTGCCTGAATACCACAGCATATTTAGGTGCATTTTCTTAAACTGTACTATTTTAATTGTTCTGCATGCAATCTTTTCAAGGGACGTGAGTAGAAAGGCGAGTAAATTCCCACGTTTTTCAAGAAATGTGAGTACAGACTGAAATTGGAAGTAAGATATTTGAAACTGAGTACAAATTGAAACACACTCTTCTAAAAATTCACATACAGATTTCTGACAATGTTCTGTAGGATTTGTTCCTGTCATTGTATTTCCATGTCACAACTGTCTAAAAAAAGTAATCATAGACAGAACTAATACGAGTCCTATCAAAAATACAGAGTACTTTTAAAAAATCCTGCATTTGTTAATTTGAGTAAGAAAAAGAATTCCAGTGCATCCTTTACGATTTATGTTATGAAACACAGCTGCTAGCAAACTACATCAAATAAATAACAGTAATATTCAGTTTACCATCTAAGATGCCCCACTAATCAGATTCTCCCATTAATGATGTATATTGCTATAGCCCTCTCATGGAGGAAAGTAACAGTCAAGTGATTTCTCATTTCTTTATACCAACAAATGTAATTAATTTTTTTCCTTTAATGCAGATTATAGGAATAGGCTGGTAGAATGTAATGAACTAACAATTATCTATCAGCAATGAAATATAAAAACATGCAGCCAGATTGCCACCTTGAAGAACTTACACAATCCTGCTTTGCAAGGCTGTGTAGTAGCTGGGAGCCAAAAAAGGAACCCAATTCACAAAAAAAATAAAGGCAGATCCACTGAGGGTATTTGTGATTAAAAAATTAGATCTAACTTAGGGTATATAATACTTTCTAAATAAATTTTAATCAATTTAAAATCGATAAAAGAGCATCAACAAACCTTCAGAGCATGAGTCATCGCTGCTCACGCTGAGTCGCTCAGCATTTCCCTGAACATATTTGTTGTACAGTTTTATTCGTAAAGCCCAGCTAAGATCTGGTTGCCTGACTGTGTTCTTCAGGCGACGTCTTGCATTGGCAAACCAGTTTGATACCTGCATACAAACAGTATATTAGTTTCCCTTGAAAATTTCACAAATCCATAGAGTCTTTAACAGTTTTATGTATGCCTCAAGGAAGTCCATGAAATTACCACTGAGCAGAGCAAGAATATCATACAGGAAGGCAAGTTCAGGCTTCCCACCCTTCCCAAGTGTTAGAAAAACCACATTATCACAAGGTTTCAACTAATGTGTCCTAAATACTTGTTTTACATTATTATTATTTTTTTTAATTTTAAAGATAAAACCCTGAACTTTCAATATGAACCTTCAATATATTACCTACTTCCTAAATTATACTAATATCGAATATTCAGGAATTTTCTTTGATATTTACATAGGCTACAAAAAGGCCTATTGAACAGAAGAAGACATTCTAAATCTGTATATATAAAAGCTCAAATTCTCCCTTGTACTTTAACAGAACTCTTAGTCTGACAAGCCATGGGCATCAGGAAAGTCTTACATAGAGTGCAACGTACTTTGACTCACTGCAGAAATCAACCATTTTCTCTACAGAGCAGCAGATTTTACAAACTCTTTTTGTTGTGGACAGCCTAAAAATAGTAAATATGCAATTTCTCACCAGGTGACTACTAAACAATAGTCTGGTTTGTCTTCCTTCCCAACTGCAGAGCATTTTCTAGAGTCTGACATAGCAAAATGGATACATGTTAGTATCTCTCTAGCATACAGGCTCATCACAAAGTCAGGCTCAAACACAAGTATTTCAAAGTGTTTTAGGCACTGAATGAGCAAAAAGGCACAGTCTACCCTTCAGTGCCAGCAGTGCTAATTAAACCACCAAATGGAATACATATACTTGCTGCGACTTTGCATGAAAGCACACCTGAGAAAATGCTGGCCTTGATTCTACTGCAACTCAAAAAGATAGAAATTAGAAAATAATGATAACTCTGCTATGAGAAAGAGCAGAGGCAAGTGACCTACATTCTAATGATATTTGTTTAATGATAAATGAGGCGTTAAAAGTACTATTTAAACCTGGCAGGAATAAGTGCATTTTGACATGACCTCTGGAAGAAGGAGGCAGAGTAGCATCACTTGCAAAGGGGACAAGAAATTGTAAAGAATGTTAGCAGCCTACAGCCCTGCTCACATCTTTCTGTTATGAACATGCACACAGAGGAAGCCAGACCGTCATTTTAGTCGGACCTGGGAATGATCACACCATTTAAGTTACATCAACCTGCAAAGCAAGTTCATACATTTTTTTATCAATACATGCTACCCCATGTAATAGAGAGCCAAACTGTAGACCCTAGTGATGGATTTTGGCCCTGCTTTTGTCATCTGTCTGTTGTAGCTAAGGTTACAGCATAAATCACACAGAAGTATCTGTCTAATTATTTTGGATCAATAATCTCTTGTAAAATGATTATGAGAAAAATAAACACTATGTGCCTCAAGAAAAAGCAAAGCTTCGGTTCAGAGTCCCAGCTAGAACTTAGCACTGGTGCCTTATGTCTGTCACTTTGATTTTACTTAAAATCACATTTACATGAAACAGGGTTCCACTGAAAATATGGTGAGCCCTGGATCAGCGCTCAGAGGGCAAACACGTAACTTTACAAGCCATGTAGCTTACTATGGCAGGTTAGAAAACCAAAATTGTAGCTGGCAGAGTAAGTAATTTTCATTCTCCTCTGAGGTTACTTGCTTATAATCATCATATTTACACAGTAATTTTTATAGTGAATGAGATAGGGTGGGCTGAAATCCATGCACTTTCTAATGCCGTTAACAAAGTCACTCCAGACTGCTCGACTGAAGCAGCAGTCACCTGCTGCATGACAGTGTAATTCTGAAATCAAGTATTTAACAGCAGAGATGGATCAATCCAGGGTCCCAATCAACAGGATTGCAGTTACTGCAGCATTTTACCAAACTGACAGCTTTCCAACCTCTCACAAGAAAGATTATGCTTCATTTTATTACATACTGAAATTTTTCATCAGTGAAGTGCCATTTACAGAAAAGATAGGGTAGTATTAGTGTGATTCATACATAAAAGCAATTAAATTTAGCAGGAGTGATTACTGCATGGTACTCTTGGTTTATTTTGGGCTCATTCTTCCCATGTCATTGCTTTGCTTTCTGCATATCAATATGAAAGGATGAGTCATATCTTAAGTCTTCTGCTATGAGAGAAGGGAATAGTAGTATTTGATTGTTATTTCATAATGAGATAAATATATTGCACCTTGTCCTCCTGCTTCTTAGGGAGCAGATTATTTTAAGTGCCATCACACAGCACACACAAGACAATCCAGGGATCAGGCCCAGCCAGCAAGGATTTGTGAAAGGCAGGTTCTGCTTGACCAACCTGATCTTCATCTATGACAGTGTGATCCACTTAGTAGATAAGGGAAAGGCTGTGGATGTGTCTACCTGAACTTCAATAAAACCTTTGACACCATTTCCCCCAGCATCTCCTGCAGAAACTGGCTGCTCTTGGCTTGGATGGGTTTGCTCTTTGCTGGGTAGAAAACTGTTGCGATGGCCAGACCCAGGAGTGTTGCCAGTCACCAGTGGTGTTCCCCAGGGCTTGGTATTGGGGCCAGACCTGTTCAATAGCTTTATCAATGATCTGGATGAGGGGATTGAGAGTACCCTCAGTCAGTTTGCAGAGACACCAAATTGGGTGGGAGTGATGATCTGCTGGAGAGCAGGAAGGCTCCACAAGGGATCTGGACAGGCTGAATCCATGGGCCAAGGCTAGTGATAGGAGGTTCAACAAGGCCAAGTGCCTGCCCCTGGGTCACAACAACCCCTGCAGTGCTACAGGCTGGGGAAAGGGGATGGGAAGATGCCTGCTGGAGAAGGATCCGAGGGTGCTGGTTGACGTCAGCTGAACGTGAGCCAGTGAATGTCTAGGTGACCAAGAAGGCAAATGGCAACCTGGCCTGTAACAGCAATAGTGTGGTGTCAAGAGACTGGAATCCTTTGGCATATGGTCTGCTTTGCATCTTAATTCAGGCAGAGGCATTTCTAATAATTTTAAGAACGAGACCATAACATGTGGCCAGTGGGACCAGGGCAGTAATTGTACCCTTGTGCTTAGCACTGCTGAGGCTGCAACTTCAGTGCTGGGTTCAGTTCTGGGCCCCTCAGTTCAGGAAGGACACTGAGGTGCTGGGAGAGTCCAGGGAAGGACAGCAGAGCTGGGAAAAGGTCTGGAGCACAAGTCTGACAAAGAGCAACTGAGGCAGCTGGGGAGGTTTAGCCTGGAGAAAAGGAGGCTCAGGAAAGACCTTACTGCTCTTTACAACTACCTGAAAGGAGGTTGTAGGTGGGGGTCAGTCCATTCTCCCACGTGACAAGTGATAGGACAAGAGGAAATGGCCTCAAATTGAATCAGGGGAGGCTTAGATTGGGTATCAGAAAAAGCATTTCTTTACAGAAAGGACTGCCAGGCAACAGGCTGGCAAGTGAAAGTTACTGTGGTTGAGTCACTGTCCGTAGAGGTATTTAAAAGAAATGTAGATAGCGTGCTTAGGGGCATGGTTTAGCAGTGGACTTGGCAGTGCTGGGTTAATGGCTGGACACAGTGATTATGAAGGTCTTTTCCAATATAAATTATTCTGATTCTGAAAGAACCTCAAGTCAGCCTTTAGAAGAGAAACCTTTTACTAAAGCACGAAGCAGCAAACTCACTCTAGAAATTCTTATCCCAAACGCAATTACTACAAGGCCCATTAAAACCTTGGAAGAAAGGAAAGTTAGTCAAATCCATTTAAGAGATTTTTAGGCTTAATCTATGATGTGGTAATCTCTAGGTGCTTTCCAGCTTTTGGGCACTAGTGCATGTTGCTGGAAAGTCCTGATTTCTAAGACATCATGAGATTCAACACCTCTCCCACTCTTCAGTCTTGGACAATCTCCAGGTGTGTGAGCTGGAACAGGCTGCATTGCCACAGGCTGTACCAGTCAGCATGCTCACCCTGACCTCCAGACACCACCTGTCTCCTTCAAAGACAACAGCAGTTTTACCACTCATTTCAACCAGCCCTGAATGTTACATTGTCTATCCATGTGGTCTTTAAAAACCTGCCTGTCTACTGCTGTAGGTCCCACTCAGAGTGCCAGTTTGCACCACACTTACCTAAACCATTACAAAAAGAAACAACCAAAGCTGCCAAAATATTCAGCCTTTCCCATGGTCCCAAGCTGTGCTACTGTGATCTCCAAAAACAATAATAATAAAAAAATAATTATTTAGATAAAAGCCAGTGGGAAAATCTTTGTCACATAAACCTCCCAAGAAGTAAGTATCTTGAAAAAACACATGATGAAACTCACTATTCTTATAAAGTAACAATCCTGTAGTTCTTTGAGAAGTAAAAAGACAAAACCCAAGGGGAACGATAACAGATGTGCTTTCCAGCATTCATTTTTTTACAGCAGTTCTGTTCTCTAAGAGCATCAGGTACTTATATCAGCATCATGAAATATTGACCCTCTGGCTTTACTTCTGAAGACACATCTTCAATTTTATTGTAATTTGTTCTGCTTCAGTGCTTAAGAGTGGCCAAACTTTCAGAAAGGGAGCAGACATCAAGCGATTCTCCTCCTTCAGTAATCCAGATATGCCTTGATAAATCTGAATACTATTAAATCCATAGCAGCACATGACTGATATACAAATCCTTGTATTGAAAAAACCTTCTTTCCAACAATACACACATTCATATTTCTTTCTGGAAGGAATATACAGCCATTTTTCTTTTTTATTTCACAAGAACATCTAAACCAAAATTTAAAATAAAATAAATCAAGCACTGTGGTAATAATACAAATGAAAATGTAGCATATTATAAGACAAGTTATTGGATTCTGAATTGGAATCTAATTGGAGTAAAATATAAAATGCCTTTTCAAACTATATTGCTTTTTTGGTTTCCTGCTTTGGCAGTTGTGGAAGTAGAAAACTTTGGACTGTTGGACTGAAATCTGCAATAACATTTGCCTTGAAGACTCCCAAAGACCTTGTTGGCCTACACATGAGTAAGTCAGCCCAGAATTTGCCCCAGGTTTTGCTACTACTTCTTAAGAAACAAGATGATTTATGATTCCTGCAAAATCCTACCTCCTTGAAAGAGTCTGACTTTTCTTCAGCACGGCAGTCAGACAATGCATCTGGAACAGTCTCCTTGCTGTCCCACTGCACCCAAGAAGAGTGGAGTAGGCCAAAGTATTAGTAAAGTAGAACAAATTACTTTAAAATCAGCCCACTGGGTGATAGCAAAACTAATGAAAATAAAGTTGTGGTAGATTTGGCATGCAGATACTAATAACAAAAGTTTTTAGTATCTGCATGTCATTAATTTTTCCTAATAATAAAAATGAAAAACAGGGCTGGATGTTCACCTCTTTGTCCCACAGAAGAATTGGTTTTATCTGTGCCATGGTCCTGAAAAAAATCTCCTTTGGATAGATGGTACATACTGGAATAAGGTTCATTAGATGAAAGAAAAGCACGGGCAGGAGAGTTACATCCGTATTATTCAATGTTATGTGACCACCAACATCTTCCAGGCAGCCGAAGACCTTTTCCAAGGTTGTCAGTCACGTGAAAAACAAAAAAAAAATCCTCAGCCATTCATTCCCTAAATGGCATTTTGTCAGAAACTCAGAAAGATACCCAACAGTATCTTTTGCCTTTCCTATGTGATGAAAGGTGTCGGCACATGAGGGATGCTGGGAAGGGGGAGCAGCTGTCAGCAGACAACAGCCTCCACAGGAGTGGAAAGCTGTGGGAGCAAACACCACGGGACAACTCTGAGAAATGCAAAAAGTGTAGGAAATATGAGACAGGTTAGCAAACGTGAAGGCGTTTAACCCAGAGGAAACATCATACACCGATTCCTGGTTCTCCAACGATGTCCAACAATATTACTAGACTAGAAAAACAATTTATAGGCGACCCTGGTTGATGCTTTTGCAAAGTGCCCCTCCTGGGACAGAAGCAAAGCTTTCCAACAGACACCAGCCCAGTCCCAAACCTGCTCTTGGCTATACCACTCGTCTGAAAGAGCGCAGCCTTCAGGAAAGCTATTTCAGATGTACCCAGGGTGACTGAGATCACACCCTGGCATGCTCTCTCTCATTCTTAGAGAACAAAAATTTTGAACTGAATTACAATCCTGTTCTTTTTGAGCGTCCAAAACGTAGGTGTAGGGTTTGTGTTGTTTTGCTCTTTGTGGCTCAGGAATTACTGCTGGTGCCAGACGTATGTATTTACATCTCATACAGATGATATTGGATTCCTGGAGCATTGCACAAAAACGATGGAAAAAACACCTGGGATTTCTCTTTGATGTTGTGCTCCTGTGAATGAAGATAGATGTGCCTGTTTGCACAGTTCTTTCAAATATTACAGTTCATAGAAACAAAACTGGTCAAATTCAGCTTCAGTGAAAATTCACTAGAGTGACAGAGGTCTAACAGACCTAAATGCAGGCCTCCCCAATCCTTTTTAATTTTATTCTACACCTTATGTAGATCATAAAACTCAGTGGAGAATTGGCCATGGCTCACTTGGTGCTTTTATAAAGGTTAACACATCCTATCCCCATCAGGATTTATCAAAGCTGCCACAGGAGAAATCCTGCAAAACCCCACCAGTTTTTTTTCCTTCTCTGTTCATTCTGAGGCACTTTTAAAAGAACAGAATAACACCTCAAGACGTCATGAATGTGAAAGTGTCCCAACACATATTGTGAATATATGTTTTAAATCTCATGTAAAAATACAGGGATATTCTAAGAGCCATACTCCAGTAAAATACTCGTATTGAATTGTGCCATTGAAGGGATAATGTTTATGTAATCATAGTTTAAGCCTTTCATGTAAATTTTTTAAAAGCAAGAGAAGTTGTTTCAACTATATCTTCCAGTTATAACTGGCATTTTCTGAGACATTAATATTATTTTTGTCAAAGCTACAGTGTTTTTACTAGGGCAATAATTTCATCGTGAGGTACTGAAGTGTAAAGATTTCCCATTTTGCCATTACTAGAATTGAAGTTCATAGTACAGGTTTTTTTGAAGGGGCACTCAAAATAATAAAGCTGAATTACTACCTGTCTTTTTCTAATACTTTAGGTTACTTTGATCTCTTTGTGTCCTTTGCAAAGTGACACATAACGTGTTAGGCAGAGTGATGAGGACCCAATCCTGCAAACACATGGGTTTCATTTTACGCACCTAGCAGTAGCTTGCAGTAAGGAAATCAGATTATTCACAATGCATAAATCTTTGCAGCATCCAGACCTGAGATAGCATCACTCGGCAACTGATAGCATTTAACCACAGATTTCAGTAGAGCGGCCAGATGGCAAAGAGAACAAAGAAGTGAGATTTATAAACATTTGCAGCAAAATATATGCCTCTTTTGGCAAGACAACTGCCAGTCACTTCAGGGGAGAATTACCTGAGAGCAAAACAATTACTCCCCATATCTAATTATATTTCAATGATAATTCCTGCAAGACTGGGTGTGCTGAGCCATTGCACACTGTGTGTACGGTAACGCTGATGTCTGAGCAACAGGTGATGACAATTATTATCAGAACAATAGAACAGTTTCCACCCTATCCCCTTTTCAAAAGGGAAGAGTAGGTCCCTGCGATTTCCTCAGCAATTCCTATTCTGTGCTGAAATCTCCCATGGCTGATATTTTTTACTTGAGAATTTTTAAAGACTAAGCAAAAATATTTTCATTGTATTTATGAATGAGATGAAAGGATGAGGGCATCTCTTCCTAGGAGGGCAAGCACACACTTTTTGGTGGTTGTCTTTAAGCACTTCTCCAGCCATGATAGCTCAGATGTGCTAATTCCTGTTTGAGGGAGATGGTCCTGCTGGGGTGGGGGAGCCCAGGGGAGAGTGGAAGAAGGATATGCATAGGACCCCTGGCCTTGCTGGCTGCACTCTGATGCTCCCCAGCACCGTCCTTAGCTCAGGTCACAGAGGAGTTTGGAGATGCTGTCCCCATCCCTCCCGTCCACGAAACGCCTCAGAGCTGTTTTTGGAGGTGGGGGTAAAGGGCTCCCTTCCTTACCTGCACCAGGGTCATCTGGGAGCCGAGGGCCAGCAGAATCTTCTCCGTCTTGGTGGGGTATGGGTTGTCGCGGTGCTTGTAGAGCCACTGCTTGAGCGGCCGCGCCATGTCCTGCAGCGCCTGCCGCTTGTGCCGCACCTTCCCGCCGCTCTGCCGCGCCCTGCCGCGGAGAAGGGGCGCTGAGGACCGCAGCTGCGGACACCGGCCCGCTCCCCGAGCCCTGCCCGCTGCCCCGCCTGGCCCCCGGNATGGCACCTCTCTGTCCCCGTCCTTGGCCCCACAAGCGTGACCCCAAAGTACCTGAGTCTGCATACCGCCACCGCTTGTGTCCCGCCGCCCCTTACCATCACCCTGGCCTCGTTCCCTGCCGCGTTGTGCAGAGGCCCCCGCGGAGGGCACGCCGTTCTCCGCCGGCGGCGAGGGAGGGGGAAACATCTGGGGACCCCCGCCCGCAGCCCCCCAGGGCTCAGCCGCCGTGGGGTCCTTTTTGGGGCTCACCCCAATTCAGCACCGTCCGCCACTATGAGTGACGTCACTGCCGCTCTCCGTGACGTCACACAGCCACACGCACTGGGGAAAGGCGCCCTGGCAGAGGGGCAGCTTGGCATCGGGATTCACCGATCCGATTGTCATTTCTCACTTTGCTGACGGGCAGCAGTGGAGAGGCTGGGGAAGGGCAATGCACCGGAGACGCCCCAATGTCCTGGGAGAAAAATGACTGTCCCTAGAGTGGGAGGAAAAGACATGAACAACTTGCTGCCAGCCCCCTGCCGAGAAAACAGAAGGTAGGAAAATGTAAATAACCACAAGAGTGCCCCCGTGCAGGCTGTGCATCCTGCACTTCCACAGACTGCTGGGCAAAGCCCTGGTAAGGCTGCCTGTCAGGACGTGACATGGCCAGAGCGTTCAGGAACCAGCTGGGGGAGAAGTGGGCAAAGGGGAGCAGTGTGGGACAAATGTTAGACTGTGCTAACATGCTGATTAGGAGCTTCCTGCAAAACACTCAGCTCTGATCATTGCCATGATCAGGAGAACTGTTTATGACACGGGAAGTATTGTTATAATTACGTCACTGCAAACGGAGTCTTAGAAAGTGACAGGTTTGACCAAACCAAGCTCCCGTGGGAAAGTGATCTCAGTCGTTTGCAGTCTCGGACAATTGTTTGCCCTGTCATCCCACTCCCCCGTCCAAACCCCTCTAGCACGGCAGGAGTGACCCTCTCTGCTAGGGCAGGCACAGGTTCTGGTCCCCAAAGCCTGAGGGGAGGTGCAGATAGGGCATGCTATGTTTCTGTGGGCCCTGCAGGCTGAGGCAGCCTCTGGAGAAGGGCAATCCATGCACTGGCAGGGTACTGAGCAAGTGCCCTTGGAAGAGCCTTCCCTCTGCCTGTCCACCGTGGTGGAATGGATGCTTGTTCCCTGTGTGGTGGCTCAGGAGGATCTGGGAAGGCAAAAATATTCCTTCCCTGTGTCTATTGACGATGGCGCTGTTTGGGCACGGGCTTGGAGGATCATTGGACTTGCAGGGTATGTAGCTGTCATCGAGGACCTGTGTGGTCCCCAGGAGTGGTGGAAATGTGCGCTGCTCATCTGCCTGCCTGTCCTGAGCTGGGCAGGGCACGGGAAGCCAGGGCAGCAGGTTGCTGAGGGCCTGGCAGATCCCACACCCACACCCAGAATAAGTCACAGCAACAAGAGCTGAGGGCAGAAATCACCATTTGGAAAGCAGTTCTGGAAAAAAACAAAAGTGTGTGTGTGGGGCAGACATTGCCAAACGTGGTGAGGCAGTGGCAGGAGCAGTTGGCACTGCGGCGCCTCACAAGCCTCCAAAGCAGTGAGATCTCCCAAATCATCACATGTAAATCTCACACACGCCCGCCCCCTCCATATTTTATTACATAGATCACAGTTGGAAAGCTTAAATGAAAACAGTGTTTCTATTTCCAGAGCTTGTTTAACATCATGAATGTGATACAAACTGTGGGCTTCATGTTTTTAATTAAGGTTACTTACCCCTCCATGCACGGAAAAAGAAGTCAATAGTTGCTGGCCGCATACCGCAGCCTGCAGCCGGCTCCCAGAGGATGTAGCACCGGCTGATGGAGCACTGTGGCTCTCCTGCATCCCACAGTGGGACAGGAGCCCGGAGCACAGCAGGACTTCAGGCACCTGCCAGGCTGGAGCTGCAAAAAACTCCTTGCCATTCTTTGCAACACCCCTCTGTTGGCCCATGCTTGTGTGCCAGCTCCAGACAGCTGGTAGGCCAGGGTGGCCTGCCAAAAAGGGGCATCAAGGCACATTTCCAAGGGATATCACGCAGAAAGAGCCTAAAAGTGGTGCTTTGGGTCCTAATGTGTATCACTGGAGGAGCCAGGAAAAAATCAACTGTACTGTCAAGCTGAGAGGAGAATTTGCTCCTGAGGCTGCAAGTGATGGAGCTCCTCAGTGCCAGCCCCACTGCAGCCCTTGGAGAGGCTGCAGCCCCAGCCCTGCTGCCTGGGGTGGGCAGCCATGCTGCAGAGCTCAGATAGCACCATTGGGGCTGGCTGTGAGCACTGCTCTGCCTGCTTCCCCTTTCTCCAGCCCTGAGCAGGGGAAAATCCAAAAACAGTTCAGCTGGGTTCCATCTGCGCTCCTAAATACAGTCCTTGTTTCTGGTGTCCACTTCCAGCAAAATGTTGCTTTTGTCCATTGTTCTGGTTACTTTTTATATGCTATCAGCAAACATTTCACTGGTGTTGCGTTCTCACTTCTCCTCCCTCCAACTGCAGATTCCTTCACACTAAACATATATGTTTGAAATTCAAAGAATTTCTTCATGTCCCTGGCATTATCTGTGGGCAGGTTGGGTGGCTGAATAACTATGACCATGTATGTTGAAAGGCCTGAAGCTGTGTAGGTGAGAAATTGTTTAGGATTATGCCAAATGGGGTGTTATCCAAACTACAAAATAGCCACACTTGCAGGTAAAGCAGCTGCAGAGACCTGTTGCCATCCCTCACAGCAGCTGGATCACTGCTGAGCCAAGTCCTGAGGCACATAAAGACAAGGATGAACTGGCTTAACCATGCTGGATAAAAGGAGTTTGGTCTGCTTCTGCAAGGAACCAGAGATGGCAGAGTAGCTTTAGAGCAGGCATTTTGTGCTTAGTCTGGTAGCTCACAGATCACTGGAATAAGATACCATAGGGATGAAGTTAAATCTTGTAATGCAGAGTTTAGTTAAGTATCAATCATCCTAAGCAAGGAAGAGCTGCCTCTTTTGAAGACTTTGCTGGACCAATGCCTTGAACAGTCACTGTCTTAGAGCAAGGATGGTCCTTGGGATCAGCGAGGTCATCATAGTGGGCATGCAGCATCTGAGAGGGGAGACAATTAAGTTAGCCCATTAGAAAGCAAAGATAGGTTCTGAAATTGCCACCTGATTTTTGCATGCAAAGACTTGTGGAGAAATGAGTTTTGGAGAGTTTCTCAACAAGACTGAAGGAGCATTTGAAAGACAATGTGTGCTTATTTCCTTTCCTTAGGGGTATTAGGCTTGGATGAACTGGTACAAAGGTGTGTTGGAATGATGTATGCAGGAAGGAAACACATCAAGGTCATCTGTGACCATCCCTAAAGCAGCTTTAGTGCTGGTGCTGCAGTTGATAATATTGTCAAACTGCAGGGCCAAAGACTGTGGGGACCTCTGTGAGCCAGGAGGGCAACAACAGCACAAAGGTGAAATGAGAATGTTGTCAAGAGGGTGTTCTGAAATCTGGCTGATATGGCCATTAATCCAGCCCTGGTTTCAATTCCAAATAAAGTAAGACTGGACTGAGATGAAGTTATGGACTGTAGCTCCAGTGTAGCACTCAGCACAACTCAGGTATTTCCTTACTGTGTACAGCTGGGAAGGGTGTCCACCAAGAGAGCTGGTCTGCTGTCTGCAAGCTGCTGAATGCTGCAGAAAGGTGAACCAGACATCACCTGATGAGAAAGCCAAAATTAAGTCCTGTACAAATGCAGGAGATGACCTTGTGTGAAGGTCCAGTTCTTGCGTTCCACAAATCAGGAAGTTTTGCATGCTATTTGTGTTTGGAAAAGAGTAGGCTGTGGGCATGGGCTGGTTTGTAAAGTGGACTTGTGCTACAGCATATAATATTGCAAGAGAAAGTGGCCAGGATGCTTCAGCTACAGGAAGAGATCAACCATGAAGCTGTGAGCGTGGCTTTAGTCATGGATGTCAGGTGTGGTGGGGCTGAGACCATTCTGAAGTCAGGGAGTTGATCTTGTAAACATAAGAAGGGGGCAGGTGCCTCTTCTGAAGCTGCAGGTGGCCCCTGCTTCTTTTAGGAAGCACAGGGTCCTATGGGTGGCCTCCCTGATAACATCCCTAAGACTGGGGCTAGTGGCAGCAAAAATCCCCAGACAAACTGCAGACCTGGAAGCCCCCAATATATAGCTGTTGCTTTATCTAGAAGGGTGGAAGACCCAGTTCTGTTCTATGTATGTGCTTTGTCTTAAGAATTAATAAACAAAACAAAAAAAAAATAAGTCCCCAAACAAGGATCTCAGTTATTTCTACTTTCATCTGAAAACATCCCCAAAGAGTCAGAAAAACAGTCTCCCAACTTGTGCTCAAGGTCTTTATGTTTTCTCACTTCTCTGCTCCACCTCCATTTTTTATTGCATTTTTTTAGGTTTCCATCCCCTTGGGCCATGTAAAACAAAACTCCTTCCATAAGGCCTGTGCTGTGCATCAGCTGCTGTGTGCAGTGGGCACGGGGAGGAGGAGGAGGGCCATGGTGTTTGCAGGAGATGTGTTTTCCCAGCATCCCATAGCTCAGGCTCAGCTGGGGCTCTGTGACCAGCCACAAGGGCAAAAGGGCTCCAGAGAGAGGCCAGATGGTTTCTCTGGGAATGGAAATGGTGTGTATTGCAGTGTTAATTAGGAGGAAACGTGGTCAGGAGGAGAAGCTCTGAAGTTTGGCTTGGGACAGAATTATTGTCTCGAGATCAGGCCTCTCAGTTATTTAGCTTCATTTATGTGTGTGAGCTGTTTTCCATTTTGTGCTTAGGATCCAGGTGGGGTCTGTGTGTGCCCCACTGGGGACTCCACTCATGGCACTTGTGGCCTGCCTGGTTTCTTCAGTTCTGTGCCCTCTGTGGAGCCAAGCTGTGTGCGTTGCTCCAGTCTGTACCATCACCCCTCAGACAGAGCTTTTTGCTTTAACCCCAAGGAATACAAAGCCAGACACTCAAGCCTTATACACATACACAAGCTATTTTTTCTGTAAAAAAAACCAGCAGCAGTTCAAATGTCCCCAAAAAGGATGATGTTCTTAATTACGTGTAATGTATCAATATAATCAAAATTAGTAATTTTGTTATGTTTTATACATTTTATTTATTTAACTGAGCTTTAAATTCCGTACTTAATATTCTCAGAGAAAA